AATCTCAGAGCCCAACAAGCCAGCTTCTTCGCCAAGTTATTAAAGGCTGTCAGATTGCAATGCAATCAGCGACAATACTTGCTGAAGAAAATAAGAAGCTACGTCAAGGCAGTAAGCTCCGGCGACAGAAGAAAGATCGGCAGCGTCAATATATCGCTTCTGGTGGAGTACTTCAGGTGCAGCAGGCTCAGCAGCTTACTATAGAGGTAGAAAGGGTAGTCGCAGAGGTTGAGCAGGGTGAGGGCAGTCAGCGACGTCAGCGCGCGCCGCCGACGTGTACAAAGTGCCATATTCAAGGACACACTCGGACTTCATGTAGAACTTGATAGCTAACTATATTTTGATATTCTATCTAATCTTACCTTGTTGTTGTGGATTTATCGTGTGTCGCGTCGGGTCAGGTTTGGTGGGGTGGCCGGATGACTGATCTGGCCGGATGACTGATCCTTGACGTTACTGTAGTTGCTTACGTCAAGACTAACTTTTCTTTCTTGACCAAAAAAATGCGATTAAACATTTTCTAGAGACTGCCGGGCTACATATTTACTATCTACTAGCACATCCCAGTGATGCCCCATAAGCACAACCTAAAAAAAACATCCACCCACTAGACCAAGCAACTTTTTTTCCACAGCTTGGACCGCCTGTTCTCTGTCATGTATACACGCCCTCCCTCTTATGGCGCAGATGAGAAATAAAATAAATTATGCAAAAATGCGTGTAAAAAGCTTTAGAGTAAAATGTGTCTCTAACAGCAATGCCTTCGTATAATCGTTTGATGGGTGAATCTAAGAGCAAAGTGAACGAACAACTCTTTCGAGCAAGGTTGGAAAAGACTGAAAAGCTGCAACGGCCATCCAGATCCAGTGTAAAATAGCCCAAAAGGTAGATGATTTTATTTAGGAGAAATAAAAGGGTTGAAAAGGAGAATCATCATCATCGCAGTGGGGATGGCGCTCGCCCATCCACGGGAGTTGGCTCTGTAGTAATCTGTATGCTGGGTAGCCGTTCCAAGTCTAGATTCAGAGCCGGTAATTGCGGGGCTCTGGTATTGATCGGGCTTTCGTAGTTTGGTGGGTCTTCGTATGCAGGGGCTTCTTCTGCTGGAATGTCTATATGGGGCGGCGGCGCGCTGCTTCCGCTGCGACTTGTTTCTGGGTTTAGAGATATGACTTCGAAGCCCTCACTGTTGCCGTTCGAATGTGAGTGCGAGCTGGTACGGGAAGCATCGGCAAAGTCGTAGTCGTCGGATCCGTGGGACTCGACAGATTGAGCGAGGGAGGTTACGGAGAGGCCGCGTTGGTGGGTATCGTTAGTGTAGCCACGAGACCGACCGCCTCCGCTAGCGAAAGAGGCGGCCGAGTCAAGTAGGGGACGATGGTCGCTCTCTGAAGAGTTTGCGCGTAGACGAGTGCCATCGTGCCTTGCAACACCGAGATCACCATAGGCTACAGACGAGACTCGTTGCTCACGGCTTCGTGTTCTGGCTTGATGCTCTGCAATGAGCATTTGTGATACGGAGAGATCTGCTGCCTCTTCTGCTCTTCGTCGAATGTCTGCAAGTGCCTGGACGTCGCCTCGTGCCCGTGCCTCTCTCCGCGCTTGTCGGCGTGCTTCTCGTTCCGCTGCTTCAACTCGCCGTGCCAGTCGGATTTGGTACAAAGACTCCATCTCCTGATCTCGCTGCATTTCTTCTTCGTCTTGTGTTTCTGGGAGTTCAATGACGTTGTCCATGCCTGCCCGTTCGCCCTCTCGTGCCAGCACCCTCTCATTTTCCCTCGCGGCGGAAGAGTATGCGGGGAGCGTCATAACACTGCGAATTGAAGTGTTCCGGTCAACACCATTCGCGTTGGTGCTGCCAATGTGCCTCTCGGGATCTCCTGTTGCTGCGCCGCTCATCTCACCGCTTGCTCTGCTGGTGCTTCCGCGGTACTCGGTATCCTGCAAACTGGTCGAGTACTCATTTCGGCGCGGGCGCTTGCGGAAGTTCTTCCACGAGAACAGCGAGGGTAGCTTGTCTTTTTGTGCTTGTTGGGCTTTGCGGGCGTTGGCGGACGGTGCGCGATACTTAATGGTAAGGAAGTATGTGACTATGAGTATAGTGAAGATGCCTCCGGCAGCAATTCCAACCTGTGCAGCCAAGCGTTAGCAAATTTTGATTCGGGCGAAGCGTTTGAGGTTGGTTGCGACAGGCGGGCAAGGGCAGGAGGGATCCAACATACAACAACAAAGGTCTTGGCCTGGTTGGAGAGTTCTCGTTTCCCCAAAGCCTCGTCGGTGGCATGGTGGGCGGGCAAAAACATAGTACTGATAAGACCCTGTACTGGTCTGGTCCAAATGTCCAAACGGCCAAACGGTCAGACGGTAAGTGCGTCAACCAAGAAGTGTGAACGAAGCTTTGTTTTCGCAATGAGATCACTCGTTCCGAGTAGTGTGGATCGCCCAGGCTTCGGCAGGTCCGCGTCCTTAGCCCTGTTATGCGCTACTAAGAGGTGTCGAACCGTTGCGTCCAAACAGCCAGGCAAGCGTCGCGAAGCCCGTTTCTGTGGTTAGGATGTTCGGCGTTATAGGTGTATAGAATAGGAACAAGTGAACAGCAATGGGGAGGGGGACTGCTGTAAGCTATGTTCTGGGCTGCGCCCGGATACCTGCCTTGGCGGCTGGCTGATGAATGATGCGGAATGCTGTGTTGATTGGAAGCTGTGGCCAGGGGTCTGTGGCTGGGGCCCTAGGCTAAGGAGAAGGCTGCGTATACATCCCAGCTTCAAAAGAAACTTGCACATGTTAGTACTGTACTGATTGACCACTTTGCTGTTCACATGCGGGGTTCTGGCATCACCGGCACCATCATCGACTTTTACCTCTAGCTTTCTCACATCAGCGTTGGAAGGCAAACTCTAGCCTTGTCATGCCAAAAGCCTCGTGCTATTTTTGGGCGCTTGCAGACTCAAGGATACGCTAGCACCAAATTCTGATTAGAGCTTCTCCTCGGCCGGCATAACAATCGCAAATTCACGTGCGTATTCATGCGTCGATCTATTTCCCCCTCAAAGTGGCACAGTCGACGTTGTTCCCCTTGTGGCGGTGAAATGTGTACAGGGGTATGTATGTAATTTCATTAATCAAGGCCGTCACTCCGTCACACGTCTACGCTTGCTAAAAAGCTTCAAAGTAGGTACGAAAACATTGCGCTCGTTTCCCGGGCCCTCAAAATTTCTTGTCCAATTTCTTCAAGAAACTGCCAATGCCCTTCTCCACTTTGTCTACCCGTTTGCCAATGTTGGAGTTGCGTTGTGGTGCACTCGGATTCTCGTGGTGGTGCACAGCAGCTTCGCTCTCAGTCGGCCTGTAGACCTGCTGGTGTATGTTCTGCCCTTGTGTTACCTGTGCGGCTGTACTGCTGTATTGAAATTGTGAGTAGCCAGGAGAAGCCATGGGCTGGTACTGCTGGGGTGGAAAGCCAGGCGAGGGCACGGCTGAATGTGCGGGAGGAGACTGAGGAGCCGGAGGAAAGCCAGGGGAATTGGAGTAGTTGGCACTGGCATACTGTTGAACAGGCATGGTCGAAGTCCGGCTCAGTGCTGGCGGGGGTGGAGTGTTGTTGACTTGACCTAGGGGAGGAGCAGATGGTGGTGGTGCAAATGATGGCGGGCTCTGTGGTGCACTTGGTACTGATCCTGCAGTGTTTGTACGCTGCACACCAGGCGGACCAGTGAAGCCCTGTCCTGGAGCAGGTGGTCCAGGAAAGTATGCCCCCGACGTTGGCTGGGGCGCGAACGACGCTTGCAAAGGATTGCTGTACTGCGCGGCATGCTGGTCATGCACAGCAGAGGCTCCAAGACCAGTTCCATCACTAGCATCTTCTGGTGGAGGTGTCTTCTCGCGATGAGCAATGGGTTCAGGTGCAGCAGGCGCAGCCGGGTTGTAAGCCATTGGGGCGTAGTTGGGCGGTTGCTCGCTTGCAGGGGGTGATGTTGGTGGGGGAGCGCTTGGAGGACCAGGGAATGACTGTGTAGTGCTGATACTTGGGCTTCGGCTGGTGTGTGATATTGCCGCATTCTCCAGTCGAGCGATGACGGGACTGAACGTATCGTTCTTGTGCTCGGAGTGTGTTGGGGTTGCATTTGGGTTGCGCGTGATCTGCATTTGATGTGGTTGTAGTACTCTGCGGATGGAGTCTAGAAAGAGACTCGCGTCCTCTGGCGTCCAAAAGTACATGTCTACTGTATGTAACTTGTACATGTATTTGCCCTGGTTCGAGGGGTCAGGGGTAGGGAGGTGCCATTGTGACATGTCCTGATGAGGGGTTGCGGTTCCATTGTGGCTTTGGAATGCGTCGACTGTCAGGGTGAACAGACATGGGTGCTTGTATGTCTGTTCAATCTTCACTGTGTCCAGCTCTGTGCAGTACCCGCCATCAGCCTTTGCGCCCTGTAAGACATATATCTTTTCGCGAAGACTTACGACCAGCAAAAGCGTCTTGATGGGGAGTGCCTGCATGGTTTGCTATCTCGATGCGCCCACTCTGGCGCATGGGATTGTGGTAGAGATAGACATAGGAACTCTTGTCGAAGCGGTGGTGCGGGGGGTTTTGTGTAGGCGGAGAGATGTAGTAGTGCACATCTGCGAAGCTGTGGGAAAGTCAGAAAAGAGGGCGTTTCCCGCCCAAAGGCGCACTACTTACAGTGTCAAGAGTGACACTTCACCCTGTTGTGGAGGCATCGTGTTGGTGTGAGTGTGTGTCTAGTCGGGCGTCCAAGATATCTGACAGCCTAATATGTGGAGAAGGCTGTGGCTGGGTAGTAGCAACGCCAGACTGTTAGCATTCAAGATGAGCATGGAGAGATCAAAGGCATATATAGGGAACAAGGTTATCATGTAATCGGATCATAGCTCCTGGCAATAGCTGCATAGACTTCTATTTGTGTCGTCCTCGAAGCGCCCGCCTGTTAGCGGGGAGTTGACTAGGCGCTGGCAAGCTTCTATCGAATCGCAGTCGCCGAGGGACGATCCACTCGTGACTTGCGGACTTCCGAGCCAATCCAGAAATTTGCTGCAATCGAGCAATCCGCCGACAACACCACGACGCGCAATTGAGCCTCGCCGCTGCGTCGAGCCTCGCCGCCAACTTATTGCGAAGTCAGTACAGCCCGTCGCCTGGAGAACATAACCCCCCTCCCCCCGCCATCGCGCCCGCTCGCTTCGCAGCCCATTGAGGGCAAAATCCTATCATCACCACCGCCATGTCTCTCGTCAACCTAGCACACGTGTGCTCGCACATGCAAAATGCATCCAAAGCCAGACTCGGGCTGACGTCAATACCCGTCTCTAAAATGCACGTCAAAATTGCGCTGGGCCTACAGCGTGAAGGCTTCCTCTCTTCTGTCACACTCGGCGGACCCACACCACCAAAGCCTTTTCTCCTACAAGCACAACAGGATCCTGAGCAATTAGAGCATATGGCGCAAAAGCTCAAAGATGAGCCTTGGCTTGCCTACCCAATCAAGACTCCACGAGGCCAGAAAGAGCAGGCGCCACTCGGTCACGAGCAGGTCCACGACGTACACGTACCAGAGAACCCGGCGCGGAGGAGATTATGGCTGGGACTAAAGTACTGGCAGAACGAGCCGGTGCTGACCAACATGAAGCTGATTTCAAAGCCCATACGGCGGATATGGCTGACGAGCGAGGATCTGGGCAAGATTACACGAACGCGCGAGTCGAGCTACGTAAAGGGACTTACGCATCCTGGCGAGTGCATGTTTGTCACGACAGATCGGGGCATCCTAGAGGCAAGAGAGTGTGTGGAGCGGCAATTGGGAGGCATGGCTCTTTTCAGAGTGTGGTAGCAGCAGTATCACTGTACTATGTATTTTGTAAGAGGTCTTTGCACCGGTATCACGAGAAAGAGGAATTGCATAAATGGGAGCAGGGCGGGCATGGAATCCGCGCACCATGCATTTGTACAAAAGAAGACATCAACTACATTCTCATACCACAAGTCTTCAAGCCGTTTTTGTAACCATAGGAAACGCCTTGCTGGTCATGCCCAAAGCTCTTCAGAGGCCCTATGGGAAAGAGTTGCTTGTGTGATGTTAGCTCACTAGCGTGGTGGTCGGGCTGCAGCGGTGTAGGGCGTGTCAGGGACTCAGGGTCGATGCGAGTCAAACGTCGCCCTATGCAAACCACGGGTATCCCGGCATCAACAACTTCGTTTTCTACGTGGTTGACCGATTTTTTTGTCAATTGACACGTTGTTTGGCCCCACAGGACTTGGGTGTTGCTAGTGTGAATATTCTTGTGTTTGTGTAAGTCGTCATGGCCATGTTGTTGTTGTTGTTGTTGTTGTTGTTGCTGCTGAGATTTGAAATCATATTCGAGATTATGCGGCTATCTACAATAAACAAACAATGTTAAACCTCGACATTAGGGGATATCCTCATACAATCGTCGTAATCGTGCCAATCCATTCCACTTCTGTTCCAATACCTGCAGACATTGGTGAAATGGCGGCATTTCCAAGAAAATTCGTAATATAATCACATTCATCTGCCATATGTTCCCAAACCCTCGTGGGTTCCGAATCCTCATACTCATGATATTCTGATTAATGCAAACGTTTCGTACTCGTGACAACAAGCGCTTATACAACATAGCTGCGTCGGCTGCGGCTGCGACTGCGGGTGGAGGAGTAGCGGGGGCTACGAGAGCGGTGGCCGTGACGAGATCGGTGAACTTCGCGCTTAACGATGACACGATCTTCACGGTGATGGTGGCTAACGAGCAGAGCCAGGATTGAAGTGATGAAGAAGAAAATGATGTTCCTGAGTTTAGTGTTAGTACCAGCGTGCTTGTTTGTCAGGTCGAAATACTTACATGATTCCGAATGCCCATGATGCCTTGAGCATAGCACAGGAACGGTCCACGTCCAAACCCCAGGTGTCTCCAGAAACAGTGAACAATCCTAGATCGGTGCTGTAAGATCCTCGGCGGTTGATGCTGGAGCAATCTGCATCAGCGATGCCTCGGAGCGCATAGACGGCACCAATAAAGGCGCCAACGAACAAGAGGTCGATAAAGGCAACGAATTTGGCAGAGTGCCTGGCGCGTGTGTAGAGGAAGAGAGTGGCCATGACCCATGCTGCACCGAGTACCGAGACGATGAAGAGAACGAGAATGGATGTTGGAGTGAGGAGCCGGCGCGAGTTGTACCAATCGACGAACCAGGCCAGCATACCCAGCGTCGGTACGAGGGTGACGAACTGGAAGATGCGCCAAAAGATGAAGGATAAGCCGGCGAAGGACATGATGGCAGTCGGTGCGGGCAAGGCGGCCTCGACGCAAGAGATAGTTATGTGTAGTGGGAGAGCAGTAGATGGGTGAGGCCCGGTGGGGTACTAATGCAATGCGACGAGAAGATGCAAATTGACGACGCGCGGAAGAAGAACGAAGAAGGGTCGAATGGTGTGCTTTAAAGATCCGGAACAATCTGGGATCAGTTTCTGCCTTGCCTACGAGTGGGCGGCAGTATGCGACAATGCTCGGGGAGGTGAGCCGATGTGACGTATTGTGGATGGAAACCGGGCGCGATACTTTAAAGTGGGCATGGGCGAATGGCGGGGGAGGCTGGTATTGTGTGGCTGGACGGTGCCTTCTGCATTTCTGGCCAACCAACACACCACCACGTCCTCCTCAAACAACATACCCACTCATCCACACCACCCACACACACACCGGTCTCAAGCCAACAGCCGCTATCAAACGTCTTCGCAGCGCTAACCTTCTATCTACACGCCAGACCCCGAATCCTCGCCGCGCCTTCGCTACGCTGGGTTCGCGTCCAAGCCGCCAGCGCAGATGGGCGGGCATAGGCGGGCATGAGCGGTGGGCCCAGACAGCTTGAACAGCTGTCGCCGCCCAACCCACTTCCCGTGTGCCAGACGCACCACTGAGAGAGATGGATGCCATCCAACCCAGCATTCCCCGGCCCCGCCCTGCAGGCGAGCTTTTTGCTCATCATCCAGCGCCCTGGGTTCAAGCTCCCCTACCCTAGGTGTATGTACGCTATCTGCGTTTCCAGACCAAAGTTGAGCCCTGTGTCAATCCTGTCAATCCCGAACCCGTGTCAATCGTCGTTCTCGAAGTATATAGAGTGCAGTATCCCATGCTAGCGTCCTCCTGAACATCACGCTGTGTCAGCAGCATTCGACACCCGTCGTGCCGTCTCTGTCCCCTATTCAACAGCAAGGAGATTACTGACGCCTAAGACGAGCACAACAGCCGGCTTGTCAACATACTCGGCTGGGCCACTTCTCCGCCTTTGACCCCCGACACCCAAGACATGCACTGCTATCGGCCTCCCTGTCCGGCCATGCAGCTTTCCTGCAAAGACGTCGCTTTTGCTCTATGGCTGCTCGCTTCGCGGATGAACATGCAGCAACCGGTAGGCGTAAAGTTCTTATCAGCAGCCAGTCCGCATCTGACACTGCCCTGTGCTCCGCATCCTGAGTGCCGGGACGGGCAGACATCAATCTTCGAGAATAGCTAGGTTCTAATATGTATTGCTCCAGCCCATGCAGCGGCAGGTAACCTGATCAATCCTAAACTATCCCGCTCTCCACACTTTCTGGGCCTTTTTTGTGTTCCTCTGTGCCTATGTTGGTTGCCTTGACGCCTTCTTGCGGCGCAGTCGCATCTTCTTTCAGCTGCGCTCTTGCCTGTCCCTATTTCAACCGAGGACCACAACTTTGACAGATCGTCCCAGCATATATTGTCCTTTTTTTGATGACACCTCGGTTATGCTGCAAAATTGAAGTATCAACTGGAAACGTTAGGCCAGCAACCAGCAGCACAGATTGTCTGACACGAAAGTATCCAAATCCCCCGAATACTCGTCAGATTCGTCCAAGAAAGTTTCTGGATATTCGATACTGCCATCACACGACTCAATATCACTAACAAAAGCATACCTCCAAACACAACTCAGGGGTTCCGTCTGTAATATCGCTTAGAAATGTCGGCTCGAGGCGCTCGAAGCCGGAAAGTCCAGCAAAAGCAAGTCGAGAAAAACGAAAAGAAGGGCTTAGCGAAAGGCAAATCCCCAGAACCCATCTCTGAAAGTCATGATACATTCGCAGAATGGCACACTTCGCCCGAAACCACTAACCCAAGGACCGGTATTTCTCGTTCTCTCACAGTGTCTAGCAGTAACACAGATGTGTCGTCGGAAAGTCGGTCCCGAAGAATAAAACCATCAACGGCTGAGTCGGCCTCGGTGTCGGACATATCTTCGAAGGGCAAAGAGACTATGAAATTTCAGGCCAAAGGCAAGGATACCGCAGCACCTCGCGGGAGAGGCGGGGGCGTTCCAACGAAGAAAACGGTTGCATCTTCACCTATACCTCCAGTATTTCGATCCGAGTCGGCGGTTCCCTACTCCTTGTCGCCTAATCAAAAGACATGGATGAATTTCAAAGTATGGAAAGGAGGCAAAGACGGAATGCGCCCTTACGGAGGGTTTGAATATGTATGTATTCGTTACTAACTCGTAGCATCACGCTTATCTCTGACATAATGTACCAGGACGAGGACATGCAGCATGGGAGTGTGCTCATCTACTTCAAAGAAGAGCAGGCTGACGACGATCGCCCAATGCCCTCTATAAGAGCAGAACTGGAAGTACTGCAGAATGCGGGGTCTACTTGGCTGGACAACGCTCTGCTCTACGGTCAAATAGACGACAACGATGTCGATGACTGGACACTTTCGGAAAGCGCAAGCTCAGCATCTGGGCGGCTTTCACCAAACCTTCCGCAATCTACTCAGACACGAATGCTGAGTCCAACTTCTTCAAATGGGAGATCTCCATCATCCTTCAATATCGACCAAGTACATTCTAGTATAGATTCTAGAGCTGCCTCCAGGAACCACTATCTAGATTGTTCAAGCTCGCCCCCGTCGTTTCGTCAGACCAAAAAATGCAATGCTACCCATGAGATATGGTTCACAGCACCAAGCAAGGTGAAAACGCCTCAGGTGCAAAGACTACACTTTGTCGCTATCCGCAATTTTTTGGCAATGCTGCATGGAAAGCCCATCGTCGGTTCAGATGTGTATGAAATGCTGTGCACACTACAACCAGAGATACAAGTGATGTACGACCTTGATTCAAATGCCAGATCAGGCATAACGGCTCGGGAGCGTAGCGTACAAATGATTACAAACTACCTGGGTCAACACGGCTTAGACGACTTGCGCAACAATATCCAGCATGCTCTTGGACTTCTCGCATGGGCTGAGCAAGACACCGTGAGATGGAGACAAGGATACCTTGAGAGTTTTGTCCACTTATCTGGCGTCATGACACCAGAACTTGAAGACCGTTCAGACTTTAAGCGTTTGTCAGTCGTCACTCGACGGAACCTAGGCATTGCTGGAAAGACGTTGCGACTGCGTATCATGGAAGCGGAGGACAAGCTGTCCAGTTTCGACTTCAGTGATCTATGGGAAGATATACCAAAGGCCACCAATAGTCCGGTTTACCAGAGCTATCAGAATTTTCGACAATTTCTCATCTCCCATTTTACAGGTATCTACGGCAACTGGCCACCGAGTTCTGACAAAACCTGGCTCAGCCGCAAAGTGGTGCATGGACTACAGGAAGACTTTGGGTCTCTCTACGAATACTTTGTCGATCGAGATGTTTTCTGGAATCCCCGTGAGGAGCGCGCAACTAGAAAATGGGAAATGGCCCATCGCAAGAATGATAACTTCAGTGCAGATCTACAGGAGCTTGGAATGACGGACATGTTGGTCAGATACGACGCGAAGAATGGCTATGCACATATACCGCATCCGTACCCTTTACTACCAAGGGAGGTACCGAAGGATGTTAAAGAGAAAGAGAAGAAGGGCTTCTTTGCATCGCTGAAGAAGGATAAGGCCAAAGATACTACAAAAGACGCAAAAGCAAATTTGCAGCTTTCTATTATCTTCAGTGATGCGACGAACATTGAAAAGCTAGAGGCCAACTTTCATGGTAAGCTGATGACTTCGGGAGACTACAGTAACTTCATTCTGACCAATGTGCTACCTAGGATCTACTCTGATCGATAAATGCGAGCAATTCGAGCTCACGACCAACCTGAAGCAAATGTCTCCACGCGAAGCACGACTCGGACGCTGGGTGCTTCTCTACGGGATCCTTCAAGTCCTCTCCACTCTGTCTGTTGACGTCCAAGGCCTCAAATATACTGACGGAGTCCGATACTTCCTCAATACAGACTTGAAGCGCCTGCCTGAATGGGTGAGTAACGGCCAGGCAGAGCACTTGGAAGCCACACAACAGCAATCATGGTGTTGGCAGCGTTCATGGGACCCCATGCCCATTCCCAACGCACCCGTGGAACTTGAGGCCCCACTGCGTAATGAACGTACGAATCGTTTCGACAATTCGCGTAGTGTTGAAGCAGCAGGGCATTCTTTTCCGAGCCCGCCGCCTCAACATGCACTACCTCCGCCACCACCTAGTCTTGATGGGTCGACCCTGATGCAAAACGAAATCCAACGTCTCGGCGAGAAAATCGACAACTTCTCCCTGTCCCACAAGGCGATTCCTAGCTTGAACGAAGACTACGAACGCGTGATACAAGATGGAATTCACGATTGGAAACCACGATTACAAGGCGAGACGTTTGGACCACGGGTAACGCGCGAGAGCCATCGCAACAACACATCTACCAACGGCAATGCTATCCTGAGTCCAAGAGTAGACTCGCTCTCTCATCATCATCCCGAGTCCGCTCTCTCTCCACCCCGAACCCAGTCGCGCATGGAAGACAGTTTCCGCCTTACAAGACCCGAATTTGACAGCCCAGGCAACTCGTTTCTCGACCGCCGACAACCCGACAGTGTGCTACAGCACCCGCTCAACACTTCTGTGCGGAGCCATGCTAATATTACAAGTGTGGATACAAACCTCGGAAGCTATCCCTTTAGCTCGAGCGACATGCGATGGCCCGTTCCGCCAGGGTACACGGAAAGCAATGCCAACACGTTGTTTAACAATCAAGACAGCACGGTGCTGGGGAATGGACAAGGACAGAGAGAATACGGGACAGGGGCGAGGATGGGTCATCCGCGGGTGCATGATAGGAGCGGGTGGGATTAATGACGAGGCTTTCTTTCCGGTTATTTCAGGGGTTAAAAAGAGGCACAAAGAAAGGGGTGTGGGTGTGGGTGTGGAACAGGACATGGCCTTTAATATTGAGGGGGGCGAAATGTTGGATACCCTTCTTTCTTTCTCGTTGTTACTTTTTAATCGTATCATGCTTATCTGTGGTTTGGCATTGGGGTCAAAAAAAGTAATATGGTCAGTAGTTCACGGGTAGCAAGGTTCCTTGGCGTACAAAAAAAAAGTCCAAAAAGGCGTACGTATATGTGTGCATTAAAATATATGGGGAAGTATTTCTTTACTACGTGTGCTTCATGCTTGATCGTCATCATCATCCATTGCCTAGTGAGAAGAAAGCCCTTCTCTTCTCACGGGCTTCCTGCTCCGAAGGTAAGCTCTCGTTCCTTGGCCGCCCGCGCTTCCCTTTCTTGGGCATAGATTTTG